CGTGATAGTCCTTGAAATCTCCGTCCATCGCCGTCGAGTTGGGGGCGGCGATGGTGAAATTCATCTTCTTGGTCCCAAACCACCTCATCTCCCGGAACTTGCGGTAATCGATTCCCTTGTTGTCCATGTCCATGTCCATCTCCAAACCTTCAAAGGCCAAGAAGTCTTCAGGGGCATTACCAAAAAAGGAAATCCGTCAACAAAGAAGAGGACAGGAGTCTTGGCCTTGCCAAGCACACTGAGCCGAACGGTGACACGTGAGTGGGTGAGACAAAGGCTTTGTGCGGAAGGAAAGGAAACAATTAGGCCCTTGGTGGAATATGGTTCTTTGTAAGTGAACAGGCGCTGGCCTTTCTTAGGGCAAAGACAAGTGCACACCTGGTAATGGACGGGAGGAAACGTTTTGTTCAAGACATGGGACATCTTCCCGGTGAAGATAACCCGAGAACTAACAAGAAACCCAAAAGATTTGTTCAGATCTGCCGAGAACCAAGGAAGCCGTAAAAGAGATAGCGAGTCTGTTCCTTGGGTGACGGCTGTTCACCATCGAGATGGCATTGTTTGGGAACTATCCTCTCGATTCTGGCCATGAACAGCGAGTCTGCTCCACCCGTGAAGAGAAAGAGATCGATGAAGACTTCCATTGTTAACAGAACGGCAGAACCCTCGAGAGGTATCTCGGGAGAGATGGAAAGGTGCATAAATCAAGCCGGGGTCCGACACGTTTCACAAACTTCAAACCGGAAAGTCAACAGTAACAGCAACAGGAACAACGACAGCAACCAAGGAACAACAACAGCAACCAACAGCAGAAACCCAACTCACCTTCATTCACCCATCAAACATCATCCAAAATGCCCTCATCGTACTACGCCAGCAGCGCCGGCCGCCCCAGCGACTCCGAGTCCACTATCATGATCAAAAGGATCCATGAGGAACAGAGAGAGGAACTTCGGCAAAAGCGAGCACGACAGGCACGACAGGGGCAACTAGCCATCGAGTACCCTCTCAGCCAAATCAGCCGCGCCTCCGGGGCCTCTCGCCAGTCTCACGTCTCTACCTCTAGGCAGTCCCACGCCGCGTCGTCCCAGGCCGGTTCATACCACTCCCTCCGTGACATCAACCCTTCTGACTCCTGCAGCCAAGTTGGGGCTCCCGCTCCTCCGTCGGTGGTATCTACCAGCTCTCGTGCTTCGAACGTCTCTAGTGCCCCGACTGTCCGGCCGGGTGACTTGCTTAGTCAAGTTGGTGGCCCACCTGGCCAGGGTGGCCGAATCCCGAATGGTCGCGCCCGTGATCTCAGCGGGAGGGAGTTGGCACTGCTTAACGCCCAAGGCGGCTCGCATGCGCCTACTATCGTTTCTTTTGCGGGGTCTCAAGTTGGGTCTCAAGCTGGGTCTTATGCGCCATCCTACGCTCCGTCCCAAACTCTATCCCAAGCTTCCCGTAACCAGGGCCCGCAGTTGCTGCCTTACACCGCATCCACCGCCGGAACCGACATCTCTACCGACAGCACCCTGGTGATCGATATGTGCGACCAGAACCGGAACCAGAACCAGAACCGACGTGCTCCTCCTCCTCGCAATCCTCGCGGACAAGGTAATGGAGGTAATGGAGGCAATGGGGGCAACGGTGGTGGAAAAAGGGTTGATCCCTCTGATCCCGCAAACATTGTCGTCACGGAGGCGGATATTGCTCGCGGAAGGGAGATGTGGCCTCGTCTTGACAGGGAGAGTATCAAGGCTAGGATGAAGGTGACGTTAATTAGGGAGGAGGTGACAAGACGGATGAGGCGTTAGGTTGTTTTGTTGAGCGTTGGTGTTTTGGTTGTTGCTATTGTGAATGAACGGTAAGTAAAGGTGGACGGAGGATGGTCAGGTGGGTCAGGTGGGCTGGCTGGGCGGATTCTGTTAGGGGTCTTGGTACTCGGCTCAACTTCTTTGTGTTTGTTTTGGATTTGTTGTTGTTTTTGACTAATCCGGTGATGGATGCTGTTGTGATATGGGGGAGTGGTAAATGATGGTCGACAATACAATTGACCGGTTAATACAGAATGTTGTTGTTCTCTTGTAACCCAAAGTGTCCATTGTCTGAAATTGGTGATTTGGCTGTGATTTGACATGTGACCAAGCTTTTATGCCGGCCCTATGCGCGGTCCTTTCCTCGGCTGCGGCACCTTTGCCTGCCGGTCAACCTGCCCCTTAGAAGTACCTCGGTACCTACTATACCGCGTGCTGTAGAATTCAAATTCCTGGCTTCTTCCGCAAATCAACATGCTTCCGCTTCACAATGGCAAACGACTTGTTGGTGCATATTCCCATCCTTTCCGCTTTTCCCGACATCCAATTGACCAAGCTAACCTATGTCTTCACAGAATCTGATTGACCAGCCTCATCCCGATAGCCTTTTTCTCGAACCTGCCAGCCTCTTTTGGCGAACTCTTGCTGCTACTGCGAGCATTCAACCAATGCCTAAATATCGCCAATCTCGGCATTGCAAGCAATGTTCTCCTCCGTCCGTGGGGTCTACTCTCCCCTTGCGAGCTTGGACAATGGCGGCAAGACTACAGACAGCGCACCTCAGACCTGGACCAAGGAACATGGACGGTGCCTGTCGACCTGTCCGCTGGATTTGTCTCGGGGTCTCGACCACTACAAATAAAGTAACACACCTGCTGGGTTCTCTGACCTTGGAATAACAAGGATTTCACAGGCAGAGGTGCGGAGCCTGCTGGATCTGTGCTGTTCCAGCCCGTATCTATACGAGGGATCGAACCGATGATGGAAAGAAACCCGCGACAGTTTCACAACGGGAATGTGTCTACGGTCTCGGTTCTGCCGCAAATTGACCTCGTTCCAGCCAGTCACATCCTCGACTACCCGCCCTTGCCGAGCATCCTGTTTGCCTTCTGACATAAAACAGAGCACCAGAAGTCCCGCCGGCACCTTCAGTTCATCCCAGGATTCGCATAGTGATATAGTCATGTTGACAAGCAAACAGGTCGGTCAAAACAACCCCTTGTCTGAACATAAGTGTCTTTGTTGTCTTTGTGGAATGTTGAATCCTGCATGAATCCTTGACCGTACGAAGCCAGAAACGCAAGCCGTGAGGTCATGTTTGGAGCGTATCAACTTCGGAATGTCTACATGATGCATTATTTTTACCCTCTCAGGAAAACTCACAGTCCAGCGGCCATCTCCATTCATCTATAAAACCAACCTCCTGTGGGTTGGTTCGCCACAGAGAGCTTGTAGTCCTCAGTATCTCCTTCGTGTACGACTCTTGGGACTTCTTTCTTTATCGCTCCCATAGCAACACCAAAACATCCCCAGACCTTGATCACAAAAGGCCCACTTGAAGCAACTGCAGCCATGTATCTGCCAACCATTGTTACCCCCGTCCTGCTGGCTATCATCCAGGTACTCTCTCTCTCTCTCTCTCACACACACACACAAACACACACAAAATCACAATGGACTATAAATCTAATGGCCCTCTTCACAGTCCACCATTTCTGTTCATGGTCCCATTGTACCTGGTGGAGCTTCCCGCTCATCCCCAGGCCCTCGCCAATTGAACGAGTCAGTTTCTGTTCTTCAGATTGGCGACGATGTACAAGTCGTCTGTGCCCTTAACGAGCAGCGGAACGCCGACAAGGAAGCGATTTGGAAGCAAATGGATAACCTAAGGCAAAATACCGAACAACCGTCAATGGGTGGCTGGACCTGCGGAACAGTCGGTTGCTATGGCTCGGCTAAAATAGCTTGGTGTAATAGGGTAAGTTTCTACCACAGTATTCATTGATCCGTCTCCCCTTCTCGCTCGTTCTCTTTATTCGCTTCAGACCCAGCATGTTTTTAGGATCACGAATACATGGCTAATAAATATCTCTACAGCACGCACCTGGGGAGGAAAATGCTTGGGGTCCCAGCAGTTATAGTGATATCGCTGATGCAGCCCAGATCATTTTGGATCAGTGTGAGAACCCCTGGCAGGACTGGCAGGCCGCCGGGGAAGTATTTCTTGATGGTGCAGATTGGCAGGGACGGAATTATGGCGGGTGGTCTGTCCAAGTGAGATACGATATATGGTGCGGGCAGTAGATGTCCGACGATATCCTATGCCTTCCGCCTCCTTCTCCTTTTGTCAGGTACCTACCTCAAATCCCATTCTGAAGAAGAATTAGCATCCCGGCCTCTGCTGGCCAACCAAGCGTGACAAGTGAGAGGATGTTCAAAGAAGTGATTGGTGAGCAAGCTTTAGCTCTGGAAGTGTTTGCTACAGTATCGGTTTTGCCGTGATCTCGCCCAATCTCCGTTAGTGCAAACACTGAAGAACATCAAATGTTGGTCGCAGATTTATAACGTTTTCAAACCGCCTCCCTACCTTTTTATACTTCTACAGTTCCACCTTCCGAGCAGGGCAAATCAGAAGATACCTGAAGTCGGGGGAACTCCGTCCGCTCAAACCTAGAAACTTTATAAAAGCGATCATCAACAAAGCATGTCAGTCATGGGGAATGTGTCATCCCCAGCCTCTCTCCTGAATTTCGGATTTTTTATTCACACTCACCTAAATACATCACAAAGACCGACATTCCGCAGTCTTCGCCATGCGTCTATCCACCATTCCTTACTCAACGGCCCTCGGCATCCTTCAGGTACTTCATTCTCTCATTATCTGTTAACAACAAAAGGATTCTCCGTCTAACCCTTGTTTTCACAGTTGAGTGGCATCGTTCAATGCTTGAGCGTACCACCAAGGGAGACCGCAGGCTCCATGCTGAGTTCTCTAACTCCTCCATCGGCATCAAATGACTCCGTTTTGACCCTTGGCTTCCATTGGGAAGTAATAGTTACATGCGCGCCCGATGGTTATCCCGTCGAGAAGAGGAGAATCGCCGAGGGAATCGCCGAGGTACTCGATTATCTGAAGAACAAAATAACGGGCTACCCTATTCTGGGTGCCATGTCCAGCGGAAGGGTCAGTTGCTCTTACAAGAGTGCAATAAGCTGGTCTAACCTTGTGGGTTATCCCTTGATCTTTCCACACATTACACCTAAGAAATCCTTCTTGAACAGAAGTAAAAGTCGCTAATCAATCAAGTCTGGTGTTACGATCCAATTGTTGAGACTCATGTATTTAGATAGAATTGGCCAATCAGATAGGACCCGAGGTCCCGAGTTTACGGGACTACGGGACGGGGCTGAAGACCAGTATATAAGAAGGCCTCCCGGCCTTCGTTATTATGGCTCTTCAGCAAGCAATAGCTTTCACAATCAACCAGTATCTTTTGGCTACTACTACCGTTGTCCTACATCCCAGCGATATACTCCTGTGCTTGTAACGGTTCGTCACATCTGGATATGTCTCACAGTATGATCGCAAACTATGGCTTAACAGTTATGGCGACATTGCGAATGGAGCACAGAAAATCTTGGATAAGTGCAGCCCCGGTGACAAGTACGTCTCGGGCGAAGCGTGGTTTTACGAAGTCAATCCGACTCAGGAGGGCGGGTGGGTCGTCATGGTTGAGTACACTCGTTGTTAGATGTCTGGTTGGGCAATCAAGCCGAGGTCCGATTCATTTCTTCACTCAACAGTTTTGGCACTCTCAGATGGTCTGTGAGGGTTGTTTCAAGAGAAAATTGCATGCCAATAACACCTTGTGAGAGAGGTGGCGGATGGTGCCCGGGTACATGGCATGTTGAGCCTCATGCTCATTAGTACGTGGTAGAGGTACCTACCCTGAGCTACCTTGTCAATACAAGAGCGATCAACAGCATTCATACCGAGTCCGACCTTCTCTAGTTGATTCACACGGCTCCCGTTCTGCTGCACACCTACCTTCCGTTAGATATGCCCCCTTTAACTGGCACAACCAGACGACTCTCCGTAATCCATCCCACCCTTCCGTTTTAGCGAAAGGATTCTTGCGTATATGTTGCCAAAGCCGCGGAATTGAACATGTTTTTACGCAACGGGGGGCTGGCTCGCAAATACTGTTTAAATCCTTGCCGTTTCATTCCCCACGCGATTGGGCATACCTATCGCTGAGGCCATCTCCTTGTGCAAACATCGACAACTCGGAAGGAGACATACAGGAGTAAAGCAGTAGCGATGAATGTGATGTGACATGCCCTGAGCCAATTCACGGCGTCGAAAGACGTGGACTGGTATATAAACGGAGGTGATCTTCTCCCACGAAACGCGCTCTCCCAACTTCAAATTCCCGGCACAGAAAATTTCGTTCTGACGATCACACTTGCGCGAACAAAAACTCTTACTCTCGACCTTCACTTCAAAACAGCAACCATGCGTACTTCAACCTCCCCCAACTTATTCACCTCCCTCGCCATCCTCCTGGTAAGCTTCCCCTTCTCCCATCTCATCACCGGTACCATCTAACATTATTACAGTCCACCCTTACCCTGGCCCACGCCATCCCGTCCCCCGAGCTCCTCACGTCCACCGGCAAGCCACCTCACACCCTCCTTCCGCCCGGCGCCACATTCAACGGCACCGACGTCAACGGCACCGACACCAACCCAGCGTCTACCCCTCGCATGGCCTTAGCCGGTACCTTTGAAGCCAGTTGCAGCTTCATCGACCCATTCGGAAACGGCGAGCCTGCCAATGTCGCGGCCATCACTGAGGGGATTGACTACCTGCGCACCTTATCGGGAGCTCCAGTCATCACACAGTGGTCGTGCCGCCAGGTGACCTGTATCCAAGAAAGCGCGATTTTCGTGTGCAACGAGGAGATGGATATCTCACTGCAGTTCAGGAATTATGGAGATATCGCGACTGGCGCCCAGGCGGTACTGCATTGGTGTGGCACGCGCGAGGGTACTGCCCCGGGGGAAGCGATGACTGGGGAAGAGGGTCTGCAGTGGAGTGTGATTGTTACTGGGGAGAAATGCTGAATGCATACCTACATGTACCGGCACCCATTCCCAGTCAAGACACTTGAGGGTAGCTTCCACAAAAGAGAATTTGGATAGTTCAATACTAGTAGAAAATGATGAATATCCCCCAAAATTATTAGATACACCTTTTTTTCCGGTTAAAATCTCTTTCCGTTCAGTTTTATTGCATGAGCATTGCAGTTCCATTCGCAGTGTCCGACTTGTGCACGTACGTCAGTCGAGGCCAAAGGGTGAGATTAGAAGCATGAAGAGGTGGAAGGCAGAGAACAAAACAAGTTAAATACGACTCCCACTGCAGGGGGGTTTCAAGAGGGGAGAGAGGAAACGAGGATGGGAATGGAGACGGGAAAGGTATATCCAGTCTGGCACAACCGGACGACTGTCCGTATTCCAATCCGCCCCATATCCCAATTTGCCCTCTCGTCATTCACACAATCGACGGATTATACTTGGATGTGAGCAGACAGGACTGCAGGATCAGAAGATACCTACCTCTCCCAAGCGATAGCGGGCGGACCTGCAAACACTATTTCAGTCTTTGCCCTTCCATTCACCTAGTGAATGGGAACATGTCCCAAACAGTGAAGGTCCGGACGGAACTATTTATTAACAGGACAGAGGAAGTGAATGGGAGATGCCTCGACCCAATTGTGGACCCTCCAAAGACGTGGCCTACTGGTAGTATTTAAACCTCGTCCTCCTCCCGCAATCAATCGATTCCTTTTACAACTTCCACAACCCACACGCAGTTTCCAAACGCTCGATTTTCCTCGCACAGGAATATCGTCTTCCCAACAAATCAACTCCACACACCGTCTCAACCTTTACTTCCTAACCGCAACCATGCGCGCTTCAACCTTTCTCTCCATCATTCTCGCAAGTCTCCCCTCTTCCTTTTCCCTCATTCAACCGCGCCATCTGACACCACCACGGCACAGTCCACCCTCACCATGGGAGTCCTAGCCATCCCCGCCGCCGAGCTGCTCCCTGAGCTCACCAACTCCGACATGGACGGCACCCCTCTCGCCATCCGTGACGACAAGGACTGGCTCATCGTCGATGCCACCACCGGCAACTGGTCCGCTTTCTGCATCAAGGACTTCGACCCTACGGCCGGTAACGGCAAGAAAGCCGTGACCACCGAAATCTCCGTCGGCATCGAGTACCTTCGCGGCGTCCCCGGCCAGCCGCTCGAGCTGCACCGCGGCTGCGGCCAGGTCAGCTGCAGTTGGAACAGCGCCATATACTGGTGCAACGAAGAGAAGGACCACGGGTTGCGGCTGAAGCAGTACGGCGATATCGCGGATGGCGCCAAGGCGGTCATTGATAAGTGTGCAAAGGGCGCGGGCGTTGTAGGCAAGGCGGTTACTGGCTGGGATTTTGTCATTCCTGTCGGTGGAAAGGCAGAGGGAGAGGGAAAGAGCTTTGATCCACAGGGAAAGAGCTGGAGTGTTGTTGTTGTGGGCGGGAAGTGCTGAACGAGGCATCAATCTTAGACGACATATCGGCCTTAAACGATGCACCGATCTGGAACTACACACCCCCGTCTCTTGTGGAGGGAAGAGGAGTGGGAAGTGCGAGCGTGAAGTCTGGAGAGTGGGATGGTTACATACCTAATATTAATCCTAATGGTCACAGCTCGGAAGGGACTCTGCAATGGGTTGATAATGGACGACAAAAATAGGTGTTGCTAGAGGAAGCAAAACAAAATTGTTGATGGATGATAGAAGATCGAACGTGGTTCAGGCCACTCACTATTAGACGGACATTAGACAATAATTCAGGGAGATAGGAAAATATAATCAAGTAAGACAACGGAACGGGTGTCAGCTGGACGTCTCAATCTCCATGGAACCGACTGCCGCAACCAGGAGCACTTAACACTGACCACCCTTAACAACAACCGACCACCCACCCGCAAACTGAACCTCGCCAGCAACCTGAATCCCCTTAATACCCTTCTCATCCTTCCTGTTGATAAAGGGGAAACATTCCTCAAGGATATAATTCGCTCCCCATAGGATACTAAACATTCGATCGATTTGTCCGCCGTCCTGTTTAATCAGTAGGTTAGCAACATCTCTCCAAGCCTGCTTTACCCCCTACCCCCTTTCATAGACTTTAATCAACGGGCTGGGAAAAGGAAGAGACCAACCTCAGCACACCAAAAAACTGCACTCCCTCCCTCACATCCCACCATCGGACACCCGTCCTTTCCTTCCCTAGCCCCTGACCCCCTAACCTTAACCACCTCCTCGAACTTCGCCGGATTCATACTCTTATCATTCCACACAGCCTCAAATTGGCTGATACTAACGTCCTTGATCAACTTCATGATTCCACCGTAGTTTGCCCATGACGCTCCGTTGTGTTGGGCGAGCCAGGCGTCGCCGCAGATGAGGTTGGTCACGATGTTGGAAGGGTTGGCAGGGAGGGAACCCCCGCCTAGAGAGCCGGTGGAGGGGTTGGCTGGGTTTCCGGGGGGTATTATGGCTGTGGTGGGAGGGGGAGGGGGTGATGATTCCTCGGCTGGTTGGGTTGTGGTTGAGGTTGTGGTTGAGGTTGTGGTTGAGGTTGAGGTTGAGGTTGAGGTTGAGGATAAGACTATTTTGATCTGAGCGATGCTGGAAGTGGTGCCGGTGCTGGTGCCGGTGTTCACAGTAGTAATGCTGCTGCTGGCGGCGCTTGTGCTACAGCTGGAGCTGGAGCTGGAGTTTGTGGATATGCTGGTTTTGCTGCTATTGCCTCTAATCTTGGTGGTGCTGGTGCTAGAGCTGGAGCTTGAGCTTGGGCTGGTAGAGATGCCCGTGGCTAGAGGCCGAGGAATACCGGGAAGGCCGGTACCATAGAACGGGAATCCGGTAGACGGACCAGTGCCATAAAATGGGTGCTTCGATGTCGAGGAGCTCGATGTTGACGAACTAGCGTGTATAGACCTGGTCTCTTCAACCCTGGGACCTGATGTTCCTGATGTTGAGGAGTTCATTGTTGATGAACCACTCTCGGTGGACCTAACATCTTCGACGACATGGGCTAACTTCTTGTTTGCGTTCGGTAATAAGCGTCGAACGGGAGAAGGTTCGGATCGGAGGTCGATACTCGGTAGATTAAATCGCCAGGCAGATGCAAGCTAAACCGCGGAAGAGATTTCGTGTCAGTGTCCGATCAATGTGAACATGAATTTGAATAGGAGCACATACCTGAGAAGCAGAAAGAGCTGCGAGGAGGACCGATAATAGGCTTGGCGGTAGCATCTTAAATGTCGCCGAAAGTTAAAAGACGTTGAAAGGATTAAAACAAGAAAGCCGTGGACAAACTTCAAAGAGGGGCAGCAAGCCTAGTTGAACCACCAAAGGAAAAATTTGTACCACGACAAAGGCATGGGCAATCTTCCTTCCCAGGATTAAGCCCTTGATCTGAAACGGGAACAGGTAGTACCAGCAAACAAACTTCGTCAACGGCCGCAACAAATCTCAGGCCTCGATATGGCAAGTCTCCATAAATGTAGCAACAGAGTTGATAAAGGAAAGAGAATGACCATCGCCGCAACCTGCCCTGAGCAATGCTTCTTTTCATCAATCATGAGGACAATGAACTTGCATTAGCCACCAAAAGAAGCAGAACCCGTTCACGATCATAACAACAAACCGCACTGTTGCACCTGCGATCACCCTTCCGCATTTAGCAAACGCCGTTGCCCTGGCCCGGACGGGCCGGGGATAAGGTCCGTTTCTCAACATGTCTTATCATCACAAGAGAAACACGCAAAGCTGACATTTAAAGTCGAGCATGTCCAAGGAAAAAACGCGAATAGCAAGTTCCATTCACCAAAGATCACAGGGGGAAAGACCAGAAGAATATGACCACGTTCCGATTGCACCTCGGTCCCAGTCTTCTCATAACGAACACCTCCAACCCTCGCAATCCTCAAAACAACCCCCAGCCCGCCCTCAAAGAAAGTACGACTCCCTGTCCGGCACGCCCTTATCATCCAAGCCTCAGGACACGCATGGCGTATTCACATGTTCTCCTAGCTCCCGTCCAATATCCTCGGAGCTGAACTGTTTAAGCCCGTTTGACGACCGCAGCGAAAGTAGTAGGCTGAACTGGAAGCGACCGGCCGGGACCGCGCGGCTGCTGAGTCACTCCAAGATCGATGTTTGTCTCAAAACTAGAGATAATGGGTACTGAGACGATGGAGGGAGGTGTGACGGTTGGTGCTGCCGTTGTTGTGGTTGTGGGCGTGACGGTGATTGACGGAGGTGTGTCGTGTGGAGGGTGTGGGTAGTGGTGGTTATCATGGACATTAGGGCCATGACTCCATTGGGGATCACGGGCTTCGAGGCTAGCAGTGCTCGATGCCACTGGATATGGGGTGTGGGGAGGGTCGTGTGGTGGGTGAGGGTAATGGCGGTCAGAGCCATCACGGTTGTCGAGACTCGGTTCAATGGGGTTACCGTTGATGTTGGCCGTGATGGAGAGGAGGGCAATGAGCCTCGTGATTGATGTAAGGGAAGACATAGCTTTTGGCGGTACTATAGATCTAGGATGTAGTATAAGGTTGTGGTACTTTGAGTGTTTGATGAGAAGATGTGTCTGCGATTTGGGTTGTTGATACTAGCTGTTTCTTGTTCAGAGCGAGAGTTTCCGGGATTTTATATCTCAGCAAATGAACCCGTGGACGGAAGATTATGGCGAAGCCTTTTGTCTGGTGTGTCAACCTTGACCCTCTCCGAGACAAACAACTCGACGGCCTGAACCAGTCCATCATGGTGGGTTTACCTCGTAAAAGCGGATGGGCGGGTTCGGCTACGCCTTGCCCTGCAAATATGACCCCGGACATTGAATATTCGGCCGCAGTATTGATCATCAAGCTGAACGGTCAATATCCCACCCGCAATATCCAAAATGCGAGACGATGTTTGTTGCGATGTCGCCCCAGCATATTAGATATTGGACCAGCCAAGTTGCTAATCCTCTCTTCTCCAGCCTGCTCCGTCTCTTACTTGTCAACGATGAAGTTCTCCATCTACTTCCACTCGCTTGTACGCAATGAGGGTCGTAGAAGTTGGTGTCGGTCATAATAAGCACAGTCCCCTAAGCATTCTCTGCATACGTGAAAGAAAAGAGGATCCGTGTTGAGGCTGCCGAGAGCTTGCTGAATTAGCAAAGAAGTTGCTGATAAACTTGGGGACATTCCACAAAATACGGCCCGCCTCGCCACAAGCAAGAGTTCACACAGGAACACGAAGCGGAACATCCGTCGTTACACCAATAAAGCGCGGCGGAACCCCTTGCAAGAAGTGCCCCTCTCGCAGTCTCCCGGAATGGGCCGCTTTGGAGTTTGCCATCCATGTTGCCCAGAAGGTTGACTCCCGGCACGGGATCAAATACCTGAAGATGTCGCTTGGCTCGCCTTAAATAGCAGTCCACTTCTAGAGTATTGTCCTCGGAGTCACTCTCATGTGTTCAGGGCGGTATCCGTGTCGTGGATCTTGGAAGAAAGCTACGTAGGGAGCTTATAATGGTCTATCCGTCTATCGTGTCGAGAGCGTGCGTTGTGGCGAGGCCAGAGCATGAGCTGTGAGAGGAACGTCAAGGTTAGTTAACATGACAGTATTTCGTAGTTAGACAAAAGGTCATCGGACCTACAAAAAAACCGGCGAACGCACCAGGGCGAAGCCTGGTACTCGTTAAATGAAGAATTGGTATCCTACTTACGAGACCCCATTGGAATACAGCGCAACCTCAGTGCCTCTTGCTAATCGAAAAGCGGAACAGAGAAAGAAGGCTGGGTGTTCTTCAGGTAGAGGCCGAAAAGAGAAGTCAACCGGGCCCGAGCCCCGAGACCGTATATCCCCACTTATTCATGTTGGCGGTAGCCATACGAGGCGGTTGATTCCTTTTCGATGTTTCATGTTTACAGCGTCTGTTTCGTTGGTGTGGTTTTGCAGCATGCCCGCTTGGTCATGTAGGGCAAACATTCCCACTCGATGCCCGGGCATGTGCGGGTAGGTCGAGTACCATCGCTAGCCTCGAACAAAGATAGTATCGTGGGGCTTTGGGCGGGAGTCAGGCGATCGGAACGGCACAGATCAGGAATGGAAGTTGTCGTGTTGTTGGGTAGAATTGCTGGAAAAGGATGCCGCCGTGATTTGAGGACAAAGAAGGTGGCAGCGGGCAGTCTGTAAGCGAGCTTGAGAGCTTGGGTTCTGGGACAAAGAGGGAGCAAAGCGATTAAATGGTTAAGTCGAATGTTAAAAGTGGAGCGCTGCGGCAGGCGGCTTTTTGCTTAGATGCGGTGTTATCTACGCCTCCGCCAGGTTGGGTGCCGCAGCGATAGCCGCGTAACAGTACCGGGCAGGACCCTCCAAGGGAAATACTTCCGAGACGATTCCAACTTCTTCCATCCTTCATTCCGACCTTTCTCCTTAACTTCATCCAAGTGTTGAGCCGCACTTCCACCCACCCTCACCTATGGGATATGTTTTCCCTGTCTATAGTTTTCCATCTTCCTTCTCTTCTCTCTCAAACCCCAAAAACCCACCGCCTCTCTTTAGCGCCCATGACACTCTCCCCAAGATTGCCTTACACATTCCACGGCATCCGACGCTTCTCCTTCTCACCGAACCAGCCAGTCCGCGTGTTACTGAAGGCTGAAGAAGCTAGGATCAATACAACCATCCCCGGATATACACAGTTCAGCCATCCTCATACACCGCCTTCCCCATAACCATAGTATCGTTCTTGCCCTTGATATCGATCTTGCACAGCGAGACGTCTACGATTCGACAAGCCCCATCCGCGACCCACTTGTACGATGGCAGGATCTTTTCCGTCGGGCTCTGGTTGTGTTATGTTCCGTCAGCTTCAAGTACATGTACACCATTGATATCAAGGAGGGATTAGGGACTACACTCATATCGTTGCACCAGATGGTGCTAGTCCAGTCCTCGTAAGTGAGATCTTCACAGCTATTTGGTCCGGGACCGAGTGTCGGTATTTCTGTCATATTATCCAGCTTGACAATGCCTTCCTTGGCTCCTGCACTCGTACAGTACCCCAGGAACCGGACAGAAGAGTCGAGCAGGATATTTGCGGCTTGTTTGGAGGTGTATCATCTCGAGTTTTCAGATCAGGATAGCTACGCATGCTAGACCAAACAGGGCTTTGAGTGAAGACATGGTTGAGATGTCGCGTGGGGGCGATTGATACCGGGGGGAATGAATCGTGCTTGCTTGCTGATGGTCAGGTTTATGTCAAAATGAAGATGACAGTTGTGAGGAGAAACAAGATTCTTATATCTGGTCTGAAGCTCTTCTCAACTTAATTCGCGAACAACCACTAATGAGCAGAGGAGATAAGCGGCAGGGAACGACCTTCCGAAACACAACATGGAATCAACACGAATTAACGGCGGCATCTCGCAACGTGATCGGCATGCTTCCTATTAAGAGATCTCTCCGATACGCAACCAACTCTTACAAAGCGGCGGATTACCACCATCAACATCTTCACAAAAGACATCGAGCATTGGTCACTAAGGTAGCAAGCATGCACTCCCCCCTACCATCCACGTTTCTCCCAAGTCTTTTATTCTTTTTTTTTTGTCTCTTCCTTTTCCCCCTCTCCCTCCTAGCCGGTATCCGACTTCCTATATTGCTCAGGTGCCGTCATGACGTCCTTCGCAGGTATCAATCCTACACTCCAACGCAGTAAGACGCGCGAACAGCAACATGCCAGCCGTTCTCATACATCGTCTCACCAGCAACCCAAGTATCGTTGATACCATTCTTGACCAAGTCTTTCTTGCACTCCTCACTTTCCACAATACGACGAGCGCCATCGGCGATCCACTTGTAAGAGGGCAGGTTCTTGTCGGTCGGCTTTCCAATCACGTCACGTCAGCTTCAGTTCCACAGATACCCATTAATACGAACGTATAGAAGAGCCATAACTTACATCGTTGCAAAAGACAATAGCAGCGCCCTGAACGAAACCAGCAGTCTGGTGGCAAGCGACATCGACACACTGGATCGGTGCGGTACTGGCAGGGATATCGGGAGTTCCTGCTTTGGTCTCCAAGTAGGCGATGGCGCCGTAGGCTCCATCGCGCGGGGCCCAGTAGCCAGCAAGAGAAGACGTGCAGGTCATACTGATGAGCGCAAAGGTAGGCATGTCATCGCGGGTTTGGAGATCCATACGACTAGCCACCATGGCGAGTGCTTCAGACTGTGTATATGGAGCCACATCAGTACACATCCTCGGACCTCGGCTTGGAACCTGTCAAGCGGCGGTGAACTTACGTGAAGCAGAGCCACGCAAGCTAGACTAAGTAGGACTTTGAAGAAAGACATGGTTCGTTGTTTGTTGTTGTTGTTGTTTTTGGCCGTGGCCGGGACTTGTTGTGAGTGTCGAGACTGTAAGGCGACGACGGAAAAAGTTTGTGGTTTTGGAAGAGGAGAAACAGAAAACAGGTCAACCTAAATAGTAAATACCTGGAAGGTGTGTGTCGGTGAATGGGCGGTTGGTGCCATTCATTTGGTGACCAACCAGGCCCGGCACGGACTGGTTCCAACAGAAATCTTGCTCACTCGCTGACTAGATGTATCTATCGCCTTCTGTATACAGGTATTCGTCTGGACTAGAATCTTCTCTTCGCTTCCATCGGCATTCGCATCTGTGAGTTGACCCGCCAGATCTCTCAGGTGAAAAGGCGAATGGCGATTCCAGCACAGAGGAGTAGAGGTAGAAATGAACATCAGGTTGAAGGACATGGGGAGGAAGCTTCAATGGTCACTCACTCCCTCACTCACCTAAGCTATCCCATTGAGTACCTAGCGTAGGTAAGGCAAATATTGGGGATAATCTTCTGTTCCCAGATACCTCACACGAACCCAAATTTCCACGACATAGATTCCCCAACACTCCTTGAAATCTCCGTCAACCGCTTAACGCTGCTATTCTGAACTCAATTTCTATTGTGGTTGATCCATTTCAATACATGTCTCGGATGCTTGTTTACCCTTGCTCCGAGCATTTCGAAGTTTTCCGCGTAGGTACGTGTGCTGAGATTTACTATACCTAGTACGTACTCATCCTGTAACACAGATGATGCAGGAAGAAAGGTGAGCCGGAGCGGGACGGAATTGCCTTCAGGACAGTATACAAACAATCACTTGAAGCTGACACCCAACGGGGCGTTTCAGTTTAAAACCCCGAGCATTCAAAATCTCGAAACATTTATCGGCAACAACGGCAAGAGCTGGATGCCGATAATGTATGTGACCAATTACCAAGACCTCCAACACCACCAACACCACGCCATCAAATCATCATACCTAATCATCAAGAGTACTGAACCGCGAATCGGAAACCAACGTCGGAACTTGTAGAGGTCTTTATGACCGCACCAGATTTATTCGTTAAATACATATAATTTGGTTTATTTTCTCCGTCCTTGCACGCAAGATGTTGATCGATTTGGCACTCTTCGGGATGCAAAGAAAACCCCCTTCTATACGTGTTTATCAGAGCCCATCAAAGAAAAGAGAGAAGAAGAAAAAAAATGGAAAAAGGAAAAAGAACGCCGACGAGGGACCGTAAATGGGATCAAAGGTGAGCTGAAGTTCCTTCCGAGACAGCAAACAAATCCAGTATGGAGCTGACACAAGGTCAGGGCATCCTGCAGTGTAATCCGCATGCCTTCAAGACATTCTCTGACATGCGGCGGAATCCTACAAAGTGATACATCACTACCACCGTCACTGCGCCATCATAGCCTCAAATGTTGGCCAACTCCCAACGTCCAAGTTCCACGTCTCTCCCAAACCATACTCTTCACCTCCCCCGCTCACTCCTGTCCAGCCTTACAATCCAGCCCCTTCAGAACCACACTCCATGCATCCCCATACACGGCCTCTCCAGCAACCATGGGCCGAGTATTCGTCACGTCCGTCGATTTACACTGCTGATTATCAAGAATCATCTGCGCCTGCTCGACAAGCGTCTTGTACGTCGGTGGGTTGTGGTAAGCCCATTTCGCCTGTTGATGACACAGCTTGTTAGCCATCTATCACTTTTCGTGTCTTTTTCAACCTTTTCCACCATCCAAGTCTACAAGGTAGGTATATGCACGCCGGTCATCCACCCCAGAACCACTGATACCAGTGATACCAGTCCCGCAGCATACAGCATACCGGCAGGCCAGGCCGGGCAGCAGCCAACCATTGACCCAGGCCACAAAGAAGCAAGGTAAAACTTTCACACAAAACCCAAGTGAGGAAAAAAAAAAATTTAAAAATTAAAAAATTTTTTTTTTGAAATAAGACTCCAGACAACGAAAAGAAGCAGGAAAGGCAAGAAGAACCGGGAAAAGAAAGCGCACAACAGCAGAAAAATTACTCACATCCCTAACACACCAAAACACCCCCGTCCCCTCTTGACATCCCATCCGCCTACACCCATCCTCCATCGCCACGGTCGGCAGCGGCGGTTCGTTGTCCAGAGTCTTCAAGTGCTCGAGGATCTTCCAGGCGCCGGAGACTGATCCAAATACGGGGGCGCGGGTGGAAGGGCAGATTAGGGTTATGTTCATTTCTCGCTTGCTGGTGGTGGTTGTGTCGTGTTCATTGGTGGGGAGGGCGAGGGCGTTGGTGTGGTACTGGAGGAGGGATAGGAGGGAAAGGGAGAGGGAGAGGATGGATTTGAGAGATGGCATTTTGTTCTTATTGGTTGTTGGTTGGTGCTTGTTAGGTGGGGCTGTTGTTGGATCGTTTTGGCGGAAGATTTGAGTCTGGAAGGATGAGGAAGTCTGCGAGATGTGAGCCGAGGGTTGAACTTGTTCTTCTATGGATGAAATACTGCTGACTTTTGTACGGGAAGGACAATGATTTTTATATGAACAACACACCTGGTGCTACGGTCCAACAAGGCCAGAAAGGGGAGTGGTGACAACCATATCGTGTCCCGTCCAAGTCGAAAATGTCAATCCCCGAACAGCACAGCATCATGTGTCTTTGACATCTCCATGACACGCAGGGCAAGAAACACAAGCAAAACGCTTTGTGAGGCTTATACGACCCGAGTGTCTGAAGCCATTGGCCTGTCGTGTCGAAGATGTGTATATACATCTTCCGGAAGACCGGAAATGGGATTGTTTGCCTTGTACAGAACATGGCAATGAAGTGTCATGTGCCGTTATGGACTTGTAATAAAGGGAGTGAGAACGTCGGTGATACTAAGATTGCATTTGTTCTCGTACGAAGTGTGACGGCTGGCACCATCTGGGCTGTCACATGCCTGCCATCAAGGCTCCCATTCACATGGGTGCTGTTCAATCGGGTCATCCCATTCACGGGTTTGGCTGTCACTGGTTGTCGCCTGTGGTCTGGGTATTAAACCAAGCTCTGGCATTGAGCCTTCCCTTTTGGGATTCTTCCCTCTTCAGCTTCTTATTCTTAGTCCAAGTTAATCAAATCGTACACAACGTGCCCTCTGGTTACGCCGTGACAGTTATTCTTATTCTTATTCTTATTCTTATTATCATTGTCGTATTTGTTTTCGTTTTTATTCTCGTCTTTGTAAAAACAATAAAAGTCGTTTGATTCAAGTATATTACCGCTATAATGAATGGATTTTACAATATAGATGCAGTATGAGGGGGGTGGAGAAGGTTGTACGCATCGTACAGAAAAAAACTAAACGATGCTTATAAAGTTATACGGCGGCCAGCTCTGTAACAATTTCGTACGAGAACAAATTCAGTCTAACTGATTGCTTGCTCGCACATGGTGTTGTGCTGTTAGTACAACTGCAACAACTGCAACTGGAGAAGTTGAACTGGCAATGGCATTTGGGTTGTTCAATTTGAAACGTCCCATATCGTTCGGGAAAAGTCGTCTTTGGCTGCTGCGTGTTCGATGGTGGAATGATTGTCCTATGTATATTAACATCAACCATGAGTTGCTGGTACCGGTGAGTGAGTATTGGGAATCGAGAAGAAAAAGTGCAAAAAGCAGGTCCACAAAACAAGTGGGAGTGGGAGTGGAGGGTGCGACACCCGCTGCCCAGTCCGACCACAAGACTAGGTGGATTCGGAATTTTGGATCCCGATTCAACAAGCCAGATCAGAAATCGAGTTCAGGGTCTCAAGAAAGGGTCCTCAAGTGGAAAATGTCTGATGGGGGTTGGGAGGGAAGTGTCAGACACAAAGAGGGCATGGATAACAAATGGAAGTGGACGGTTGATGTCAACATCCCGCCTGAGGGTCCAGAAGAGTGCGAGAACCTTGATGGCCATTTCTCTTATTGATAAGGTCGATATGATAAGACATGCGTGACGTCAACAGCACTCATCCACGCTTCCAGTCCGCAACCAGCCGTGCAACTCATCAGAATCCTTTTGAGTGCTCGGATGAAGAACTATCCACGGTGAGGTCCAAGGAAATGGAAGAAATCCCAACAAGAGAATTCTTTTCAACAATTTGCAGGTACCATATGTGCTTGTCCTACTACCCCGACTCGTTCATGTCTTCAGCCTGAGTTGTCGGTATACCCCGGCCAAATCGATCGGTGCTTCTCTCCTTGCTTCCATTCTACCTACAGCCTCAGCCAACTGGTCCCGTTCTACTGAGTATAGACGAAAGTCCATCGCATCAACTCGTCCTTTATCACACATCCACCTTTTCCGCACTCTCACAGCTTGCAGTAGTTCTTTATACTTCGTTCTGATACTCTTATGCACCCAAGCAGCCTTCTTCGAGCGCATCGCCCTGTGAACCTTCTCAACCGCATAGGCGATCGGAACTTGCTCTCCTTGCGGAAGTGACCTAACATGCCGCAGCATCATGGCCACTCTCTCCGTGTGGGCAGCCACGATCTTGTTTCTGGCTTCTTCTCTTATTCGCCTCTCTTCTGCGAGTTTCGCATCAATCTCCTTTCTGGCTTCTTCTCTTATTCGGTTCTCTTCTTTCCTTTTGTCGGCACACTCCGCGCAGAGCGAAGTAAACGTGTAGCCGCTTGGTATTCCCTTTCGGTCCCATCCCCCCCGTTCTGCGGACGTGTATACTGTGGGGTTGACGTTGCAAATCTGGCAAATTGGATTCTGGGCTGCTGCAACTGCGCTGCACTCCGAGCAAATGCACGGGCGGCCCCAGTCGCAGTTGGCGCGGCATACCGCGCTGGCATGAAACGGTCTGCCGAATATTTTGTAGCTCGGAGAGGTTGTTGGTATGTGGGATCCGTCTTTGTGCACTCTGCCGGGAAAGGTAACCGATGATCTCTCCCTGCTGTGGGCGGGAAGACCGCATCCTGCAATCGTCGTGTAGCTATTTCTGGCGCATGTTCTAAGCAGCCTAGTTATTGAGATACCGGGAGATGTTCGCAGGAGGGCCATTGTCAACATTTCGATATGCTCTGCGGGGACGTGGAGGCTGTCGGCTGGCTGGAGAGGAGGAGTCGGAATGCTCGAGATCGGGCTAATAATCCTGCTTAATGCTTGCGCTACAGTTAGCTGGAGAAACAGGCGGTAGTGAGGATGTCTCGCTATACAGCAGAAGCGGCAATTGTGTCGAAGGGCTTCGTTGCGCATGTAAGAGAGGGTTCAAGTGTACTTACCTGCGGAGGGAGGGTAGCAAGACGTGTACACTGCAAAATGTGCGCCATCAGTGCGCAAATGGTGGATGGGTAAAATAAAATGATGCTAATCACGTCTGTGAATAGGTGCCTAAAGTCTAGTGGTGGGATGGCCGTGTTGATGATCGCAGAAGATCGTGGTTTGAGGAAGAGAGGAGAACCGGTTTGCTGGCTTGAGAAAGTTTGGGCCCTGCCCGTCACCGACCAAGTCAATGGAGATTCGCGACGTTGGATGAGCCAGCCATTTAAACGGATTGCCCCGCGGTTGCAATTTCCAAACGCCTGAACAGTTCCAATACGACGCCGCGGCATGTTAGGTCTGTGAGGCGCGGGGCGCCTTATCTTACGTTGCTTATCTTATCAGCGCTTATCGCTGGGGCAGGCCATCAAGGTTCTCAGTCCTTCATCCTTGTTGTCCTTCGTGCCTTCCTCTTGAATCCATTTGATCTCGAAGGAAGAAGAAGGAAGAAGAACCATACCGGGCACAGCCATGTTACTTTTGCTCTCCACAACTCTTTCTCTACCGAGCGGTCGTGGAACAACCCGAACACCTCACCGGCATCGGATCCAGTGCTCTCAACAATTCAAATAACAAGTAACAAATAACAATCTGAAGCAATCAAATAAAGCAAATCGAGTTGTAATGTAAACAATCGAGCCGAAGTCGCTTTGTTTGATTGATTTGTTTCAATTGTGTATTATAGCTGTTGATACGTCTGGTGCTTGGTACCGTATTTCTTCCTCCCTCCCGTAAAAAGTCTGTTCCCGTCGGTAATTCGTTTGACCGTTGAAGATTGAGAAGAAGACCGAATTTCCTGTTTTATATTCCGTGAATTTTTCCGGTCGTTCGCGCTGTGTTTTTTAATTAATACGACTAATAAAGGTGTGTAATTACTGTATGCTGCACACCGAAGAATTGGGGTATCCGAGATTGCAATCGAAGTAAAGCAAATAAATCCGGGTGCGAAACGAAGCAAATAAATCCGGGTGCAAAACGAAGCACATTCGGCCATTTGAAACAATCCAAAGCAAATATTATTTAGTTGAATTGTCAAGAACACTGATCGGATCATCACACCTTCGTAGCACTCGTGAATGCCTTCATAAATCTCCCTTACACCATTTTGGTACCTAATGTACGACGCATTTCAAGGTTTAAGAAACCCCAGATGGACTTTGACCAACAGGTTTCATTTTTGTTACAAGTCATATTACGTTTTCAATGGCATCTTGTCACCCCTGAGAAATTCGTCCATGTTCGCTTCATTTCATTTCTTCGTTAATAAGCTTGCATCGTTTGTGCGATCCAACCTCCCCTCCTTCTTCCCTTTGTTATCGTCCTTTGCCTTCCTATCATACTCTACTCCCGCCCTCCCACCTGCCCCGTTCAATGGCACTACTACGCTTCCGATTCCCCTTCCGCCTCCCGTTCCAAGACGAGGAGAACACTGGTCTTGTCCGGCCTCACAGCAGTAACCAAAGTCGTGGGCACATTCAACTCCCCTCCATCGTCATTACCGACATCGTCGCGGATTTTCTTCAAAGGTGGCACGCTAATGAACGGAGAAGGACAAGGTTGATGAGTGAGTTGGCAGACGACGTCGGGTGGGAGGTCGAAAAGACCTCCTCCTTGGGCGTGCACCATGACGAGCTGTTGACGGGGTGGGATGTTAGATGTGGTGAGCTAAGAGGGAAGAGGGGAAGAGCGTAGAGGGCGACTTACGCATTGAAGAGCCAGAGGGGCCAGAAGGCTGAGGAAGGTCGTTTTGGAGAACATATTGCTTGGATCAATCGGGAACGAGAACAGGAACTTGCACAAGGACGTGGCTGAGACTTGAGAGAGTGATGCTGTCTGGAAGTGATGATGTTCTGGATCATTCATCGACGAGACAATTTGACGAGGCTTATATATCTCCAGAGGTAGTCATGATGATGGCCTCCACGCCCAGGAACTTTGCGGCACATCCAACGAAACGGACATCACGATGGTTTTTAAATATCGAGGCGTCGTGTTGGTGAACGGGTCTTCGGCCGATATCACCATGGTTGGCGAGGCATCGTGAGCGATGAAGCGGTTTGCTCCCGTGCTACATGGGAAACTCTCGACGGCAGATATGCTGGCGTGAAAGTGTAAAAAGGACTGTTGGCAGTGGCGGTAACACCAAAGGACAATCGGCATCGGTTGAGCAGTACTACAGTCGATTCAGGAAGACATGAATGCATTTGATGAAGCAAGGTATGTACAAGAAATATCCAAAGACAACCAACAGAAAAGATCATCCAAGCCATAGGACCAACAGAAAACCAAACAGGAACAAACACTCAAGATAATCGTCAAAACGAAACAAACCCATATCCAAAAACTCCAGAAGAAATAACGCAACAACGGCCCTTGTCCACTACAAACAAACAACCACAACAACCACCACCATTCTACTCCTCGACCTTAGCGACATCCAACTCCTCCCAAGGCCTCTCAACCAACTGCTTCAGCGCCTCACAAACCTCACCCAACACCACCTCCGCCTCCTCCTTCCAGCACTCCATAGTGACAATCTCCAACACCATCTCCTCGCCCTTCTCGTCTCTAAAAGCCTGCACCTTCCACTCCCTCAGCGGCTCCTCATAGCAATACAGCGTCTCGAATTCCGCTTTGGCTCCCTGCCCCTCCTTCTCCGCGCCGTCAGAGAACTCCAGCTTCTCAACATGCGCAACATCCTGATGAACAACCGTATCAAACCACATATCCTTCTCCAGAGTCCACTCGGTACAAGTCTTGACGATCTCCTCCAAACCCATGCTGTCGTAAGCGGAAGAAGCCATGTGCTGCGTCTGCAACTCGGCCAGCAAATCGTGACCGGTGCGGATGGGCTTGGTGGGGGAGTTGAACTTGACGCGGGCGGGGACGTATTGCCAGGTGGGGCCCGTGACGGCGTTGGTGTCCTTCACGCCGGGGACGTCGACCGACCGGCCGGAGGAGACTTCGCCGAAGACGACGTCTGCGCTCTTCACATGGCGGGCGAGGGCCAAAGCCCAGGCTGCCGAAGGCAAAGTGGCGACTGTGACGTCGCGCGAGCGCGAGGAGATGTCGACTGCGCGGTGAATGGCGAAATGCTTGCGTGAAGTAATGGGTGTGTCGGGGCGGAAGCGGGTGATACCGCTTGAGCCAGCCAGGAGGTTGCGCCAGTATGGAATAGCGGCGGGGATCGAGTCGCGGATGGTGTGAGCAACAAAGTGGGAGAAGGGGTAGGAGGGGGGGATAGCAGACTCGGGAGAACCGAGGTACAGCTGGTGGAACTGGTGCAAGATGATGGGGAGGCAGATCTCGTCGTACTGGGCGTGCGAGAGGCGGAAGGCAAGAGAGCATTGTGTGCCGTTGGTGATGAAGAACCATTTCACAAAGGAGGAGCCGTAGGGCATGCGCGTTTGCGCGTCGAGCTTGCATACTTGGGCGGCGAAGTCCTTGACGTCGCTGTTGTCGGTCTCATATTCGGCGATTTCGGTGATGAGGTTGTCGATGACGACGCCGTAGCAGGTCTTGTCGGTGTCGGAACCGCGGACGAAGACGGTGCGCAGGATCTCGTTGCGCGCAACGACTTCGTGACACGCGCGGAAGAGCGCGGCCTTGTCGACCATGGCGTTGAAGTGCATCAGCTCATAGCGGAGAGAGAAACGGGGGAGCTCAACGGTGCCGCGGACGGCGATCTCCTGGAGGGGACGGGTAGGGAGAACGTCGGCGACGGTCCAGGCCTTGTCAGCCAGAGACTGCTTGACGACCTCCACGATTCTGTCCTTGTTGTTGTCCTCATCGAGAAGAGAGAAAGGCTTGTACTCGGTCTCAACCTTCGCCGAAGCGTCGTCAACCACGGCACCGGTGGTCTGCATGACATTGGCCATGTCGAACAGCGTGCGGTTGGCGAATACCTGCGCAACGCTGATCTTGAGACCCTGCTGGCGTGCCTCCGAGACCAGCTTCATGGCGGTGATGGAATCACCACCGCGGTTGAAGAAGCTGTCGCCGAGGTAGATGCTGTCCTCCTTGACCTTGAGCAGCTTGGCCCAAATCTTGCGCAGAGTCTTTTGCTTGGCCGAAGTCGCAGCAACAGCCGAGGGAGCGACGGTGGACGCAGCCTTCTTCTTAGCCACCTCGGTCTTGGGCTCGGAAGCCTTAAGGATGCAGAGGGAGGTAGACTCGCCGTCGACCTTGTACTTGGCGAGCTGTCCAGTCTTGTAAAGCTTCTTGCTGCCAGTGTACCAGCCGGGAACACCCTCGATGAGGACAGCAGGAGAAGACAGTTCCTTGCTGGTCTCAACAATGAGCTCACCCGCGGCACCAACAGGCACCAGCCTGCTAGCATCAGCAGCATCAACAAGCCAGACACCCTCAACATCATCCTCGCTGACACCAGCAACGAACGGATCAGACTCGACGGCGAGGTTCTTAACACCCGCCAACTTCTTCACCTCCTCGCGATCCTTCTCGGTCAAGCACTCCAACTCCCCGACCTTCCTCTCCCCGCTTCCATCTTCACACAATTGCGTGACAACCTTCTGCAACTGATCCAACGCCTTCTTAACAACATCCATCTCCACGGTCTTGGAATCGAACGACGCCATGACAAGGAACCCATCCGCCTCGAGCGAGCAAACCAGCATCAGCGCATAGGTATTGAACTTCAATGCCTCCTGCGCCGCCTCAGTGTCACCAGCGGGCACAAGGCCGGTGGCTGGGGTATCCTCGGTAACGCCCACCTCGCCGGCAGCGGGATGAAGAACGATACCCGTCCGCAACTCGCACGCCTGCAAGGCATCGTCGGACAAGCGACGGATGTGCTGCAGACCAGCATGTTCGTAGGGGATTTGCGTGATCATTTGCTCGGCAACACCCTGGAGGTACTCAGACACAGTCTGCTCCCTATCAACGCACACGCGCACAGGGACGGTGGTGATCATGGGTCCTTCGATCTCATCTGCCCCGACAATGGGCGCGTTACGGCCGGTCAACGTCTCGCCAAAGACAATGTCGTTGTTACCGGCTGTGTACTGGCTTGCTACCAGCGCCCAAGCAGCGCGGACGATAGTAGCTAGTGTGATAGTTGTGTTTGGGCTCGAAGGCGGCTTCCGGCCATCGAGAGAGACGTAAAGTTCCCAGAGCGAGTCGGCGCGGGTTTGGTACCCCTCGAACGGCAAGGCAGGGAATTGCAGGCCCGTGGCACCAGCGAGCTGGTCCTTCCAGTAGGCATCGCACGCGGAGCGGTCGAGCGTGTTGTTGAGGTAGTTGATGAAATGCTTGAATTCCGCTGCGGGCTTGCGGGGAGTGAGGCCCTGGTAGGCTTGGTTGACGCGGTCGACGACGAGGGGCATGGACCAGCCGTCGTACAAAGCGTGGTGCATGGTCAGGACGAAGTGGTAGGCTTCACCGTCCTGGATGAGGCCGTAGCGCACAAGGGGCTTGCCGAGGTCCATTTCTTCGTTGCGGTCGGTCTCGAGGTACTCGGCGAGGGTGGGAGCGGAGTTCCAGTGGAGGGGCTCTTTGACGACGACTTGCATCAGGCCGCGAGGGGAGTGGATGATGCGCGTGCGGAGAATGGCGCAGTCGGCGTTGATAGCTTCGAAGGCGGCCTTGAGCTTGTTGGCGGCGGCGCGGCCTTCCATCTTGAGAACACGCTGGGCGACGTAGGCTTCTTTGACCTTGGCGGACAAGGCCATGAGGGCTTCTTGGAGGGGGGTGCAGGGATAGACGTCCTCTACGAGCTCCTGGTCGATATCGCAGTGCTTGCTGGCTTCAGCCTTGACGTCTTCGACGGCCCAGTCGGCTTCAAGCAGGGAGAAGGGTGCAACTTCGTTGCTGTCCTTACCATCAGCATCTTGGGCTTCGACCTTGGTGGCGACAACAGCCATGTCCCTGAGGACGGGGTAGCGGAAGACATCAGCGACAGTTAACTTGACCCCCTCAGCCCTGGCAGCAGCAATGAGCCTCATGGCCCTGAGAGAGTCACCGCCAACAGCAAAGAAGCTATCGCCAGCCGCAATCTCCTGCTCAGTACCAAGCAGCTGCTTCCATACCTTGTGAAGAGCAATCTCCATCTCGGTGGTAGGAGCACCGCCCTCGCCACCCTGTCTGGCCTTCTTCGCGCTTCCGGAGACTTGGTCCCTAGTCATAGCAGCACCCATAGCTCTCAGCGTCTTGCGATCGATCTTGCCCGACACCAGAGATGGCATCTCGCGCAGGGGGATGTAGGCATTAGGAACCATGTACCTAGGCAGATCAACACCGAGAGCCTCCTCAATACCATCCAACGCAGCTTGCAGCTCAGGCGAGAAGCTAACCTCACCCTGAACAACACTCTGCAAGGCATCCTTGGCCGAGATACCAGTCGAGCTAGTCTCGGCCAGGAACGCCACCAGCGTAGGATCACCACCGTTAGGCTTGATAACCTCAGCAGCAATCTTCACACCAGCCGGCAACTTGGCGCGCAAATGGTGTTCGATCTCAACCAACTCGACTCTCTGACCTCTCAGCTTGACCTGGGCATCCTTGCGTCCAACAAAGACGAAGGCACCCGAGCCATCGGCGTCGTACCGGACCAAATCACCAGTCTTGTACAACCTGCCGTGTCTGCCGGGGTGGGCATCGCCATGGCCAGCAACGAGCCACTTGGGGTCTTCGATGAATACCTCCTTGGTCTTTTCCTCTTCACCGAGATAGCCAAGTCCAACGACGGGTCCCTCCATGAGTAGTTCACCCACTCCGCCAACGGGCACGAGACGGTCGTGATCATTGGGATCAACAACCCATCCGCATCCGCCGACGCCGGTACCGATGTTTCCCGTAGTGAACCCCTTCTTCTTGGCCGCTTCGTCTTTAGCAAAGACGTTGTTGACTGTGCAACCAACCGTGCACTCACTGGGTCCATACGCCACGATAACTGACGTCTTGCCGCGGGACCAAGCAGCTGCGTCAGCAGCTGACACCGCCTCTCCTCCAAGGCCAAGGACATCAAGACCCTTGATAACCTCGGGATCCAAGACTCTAGCAACGGAAGGCGTCATATGCGCCATGTTCGCACCGCTCTTAACGATGGCGCCGCCGAGGTCGTTCATCCTATCTGCGTCCGAGGGAATGCAAATCGTTCCGCCGACCGCGAGGGTGCAGAGCATGCAATCGATCGAAACATCGAAAGCGTAAGAAGCAAATTCGAAGCAGCGAGACGAAGACTTGTAACCGACTGCTTCTGCGCGAGGCAACGCGCCGGAGGTGTAGTTGGCGTGAGAAATCACGACGCCTTTGGGCTTGCCGGTGGAGCCGGAGGTGAATTGGATGTACAAGGGGGTTGTTTCTGTGGGAATGATGGGGAGGGTGACTTCTGAGAGGGTAGAATCAGAGGAGAAGGCGGTGAAAAGAGCGTCGGAGACGGTTATCACCTGCCCCTTGCCAGTAGAAGGGAGGCATACGGCCGCGAGTTCAGCCTGCGAAGCAGAAGCGACGATGATATCACCCCCCGTTTGCTCCACCATCACGCGCAACCGACCTTCAGGCTGGGAAGTGGGATCCGTGAGAGCAAATGCCGAACCGGCCTTCATGACGGCCAAGAGCGCGACAATGGTCCAGCGGGATTTCTCAAACATCAAAGGGACCACGCCGCCGAGCTTGACGCCGCGGGCGACCAAGTGGCGCGCGAGCAAATCGGACATGGACTCGACTTCAGCGTAAGTGAACTCGCCGTCCCAGGAGGAGACTGCAGGCTTGGAAGGGTTGGCGGCCGCTTGCTCGGAGATGATGTCCTGCATGGTGCGGTCGATCAAGGGGGGCACGACGGCGTTGTAGGACCAGATGGTGTTGAGGTCGCAGGGGAGGGGCTCGAGGAGGGAGGAGATGGTGGTTGTCTCGGCCTGGGGGAGAGGATGAGGGTCAAAAGCTCGGTGAAAGCGTTCAAACGGATGCTGACTTGGGAGGTGGTGAGAGCGTCGGAGACGTTCTTGAACCAGTAGGCTTGGAGTTGGAGGGTCAGCTGCCCTTGCTGGCCTTGGGAGTCCTCTGAGGGGAGGAGCTCGAGTTGGAATTTCCAGTTCTGTTTCAATCATGTCAGTCACTGTCACTGTGGCTTAAAGATATTGTGCATGAGGAAACATACCGGCCGCTGAGCAGTCTCATACCCCTCTTCCTTGATCCTCTCCAATAAATCCGCGTCCGAGTCCGAATCAGGCGCCTCCTTCCCATCGTTAAAGAACAGCGTCGTCTCCTTCTTCTTCTCCTCTGTCACAGCCACCTCTTGCCCGGTGACCTTGCTGCTAATAGCCTCAAGCACACACTTCACACTAGCCATCTGATCCAAGCCCTCAGAGCCAAGTACCAACTTAACAGAAAACTGTGACGACGTTTCCGTTCCGTCATCGTCGGTAGCGCTTCTCCGTCCCCAATTGAAGGCTTCCACCTTATCATCTTCGCCACCTTCTCTCTGGAGAAGCAACAACCATGCTAGGAGGGCGGCAGCGTCTAGCGAGGAAACTTCGCTGTCGTTTTGCTGTAACTGTGACTGTGAGGATGGTAGTGATAGTGTTCGGGATAGGGTCTCGAGACCGAGTGTGTCGAATTTGTGGTTGGTGCTGTTTTGGCCGATGAGGCCGAGCGCGGAGAGAGCTCCTTGTACGAATTGTTGCATGGTGGTGGTGATGTTGTGTTACTGGCTTTTTGTGTTGGGAGTACGGGGTTATGGTACTCGGTGGGTAGAGGTATGCTGAGAGAGGCGTGTTATTGCCGCTCTTGCGTGCGTGCCGTTGCCGTTGCCGTTGAAATAGGTCGACAGACGGCTTGGATAATGGATGAATGAGTGAACGGGTGGGATTACACAATATGAGGTAGACAGATACGCGGGCGGGCGAGATGAGGACGGGACAGGATGGAGTAAGTATCCGTCTTCGTAGCAAGATGGGAAAGGGTAGTGGTCGACGGGATGATGTTTGTGTACGTGGTGTGTGTGAGTCTATTCCCGCCTGCCTTGTGTCGTGTTGTGTCCTGTCGTGTGGTGTCGGTATGCACAACTGTCTCTATTCTCACTCAAGAACAGAAGACGATGAAGATGATGATGAAGTTTGGTGTTTATGGTGAGGCTCTTTTCACTGGAAAAGTTCCCCGCTTGAATCAGATCAGGAACATGGGCCGATGACAAGCTACGCGCGCGCGTGGTGGCTATCGCACCGCACCGCACCGTAGCAGACCCAGACCGAGAGCGGGAACGAAGGTCAGTCAGTCAAGGTCGGGGTCGGAAAGCATCCCTCCATCCATCTGGCTAGAATCACCCCACTCCGGATTCAGCACAGCACCGCGCATCGGAAGTGTGGAAGTGGTGGTGGTTTGTTCATGGATGTCGCCCGTCCATCACGACAAGGTTCCCTCCTCCAACTCCTCAACCGCGTGTGCTGAAGTGCTGGCCGGCCGCGTACGTAGGATGGATGGTGTGTAATTCAACGGCCGGAGGTATGGTATAGGGTGTGGACATATTGCTTGCTTGGGGCCATGGTGCGTTCGCCAAGGGTAAAAGATCCGAGAAATGGATCATCACTTTCTCACACGCACGCACGCGGGAGTTTCATATCTTTGATCATCACCATCTGATAAGATTTGGTCCGGGACTGTGACTTGTGAGACGTATGGACGTTGGAGGGGAACGTGGGAACGTGGGACTCCCTCCCTTCCCTTCGGAGGAACCATCCTCGGTTAGGGGGAATCCGAGAAAGATGCAGATTTCGGGTGTGACACATTCTACCTTTTTTACCCTCTCCGTTCTTCAGAATGAACGGGTTCGCCTCTTACGCTAGAGAGCCTGTCATACCACACTTGTGACATCATGAAACGAAGACTTCCTCATGGTTTCGAATTTGGTGTTTGGCTTCGAATGTTCAGTTGTTCCGATCTTCAAATCTTCAAATCTTCAAATGCCGTCAACTCATCAACTCGGCCGAGCACCTCTTGCTCAGTCCTCTCGGATCCGACCACGCAATTGGCCAATTGGACATGGGGTACGGTCTGGCGTTTGAAGAAGTCATCAGGGCAGTTCCAAGCAGTTCACCAACCACGTTGAAAATCGCAAAAAATAATGCTGGAAAAGTGAGAAATTTTTGGTTCTCACTCCCCTGTCCCTTCCGGCTCTCCTCCACTGCAGTGGGGTCCGTGTGCGTTGCGTTGCGTTGCCATGGTGGGGTAAACAATGGAACCCTAGAATAAAACGGGGGCTCGTGAAAAACAACAAAAACAAAAACAAAAACAAAAACGGTGACAAGGGGGCGTGAGACTGCCATTGCAATGGTGTGCTGAACGACGGACGGATCATCGGATCTGATAACTTTAATGGGGCGACTGAGTGGAAGTCGAACCAATGGAACTGGTTTTTTGTGGTTTTTTTGTTTTTTTTTCAGGTTCAGAGGCCGGTCGGTGCCCAGTTTTTTGACTACTTTTCCTTCGTACCGTCCGTGTTTCGTCTTGCCGTCGGCCTAGGATTCTTTTGGGGCGGCCGGCAACCTCCACCATGGACGGTACCACGAGATGAAACGCCATCAACCTTTGCGATGCTGTTGTTTCTGCTTTCCGGTGTGCATGGGAATGTTTTGTGTGGCGTGCACATGTGTTGTGGTTGTCGAGTGTCGTTCCAGTGCCCGTGCAGCATCTCATCTCATCTCATCGATGCCTTCCCGCCGGCTTCGGTAGTTGGTACCATCATCACCAAAAAGCGGAGGAGGAGGACCGTTCCAGCGTCACATCCGGATGTTTGCAACAACGCCATTGATGATTGAAGAGCGGGTTGCGGGAAAATGCACACTTCCACTTCCAGGCCATCCACCGACCACCATTGAATTCATTTTTTTTTGCGCTATTGCCTCCGTTGTTGTTTCTTTCATGATACCTAGCCTGCCTAGGTAGGTAGAGTGTAAAGGTCGGTTGAGTGTTGACGTTTGGATACCACATTGACACTCCAGTTTCACTCCATCACCCCATCACTCCATCTCTCCATCTCTCCATCTTTTCACCTTCCATGTCTCGCTTATTGTCGACCTTGACGGCTGTTAATAATGGTGAACGGCGACCATTCCTTCCAGTTGTTGCGCTTGCGAGTGTCCATGGTGCCCTCCATGTCCTCCACAATTGAGACGTAACACTGTTTGGTGAAGACTGGCAGCCACTCACATGCAACTGTTCGCCATTTAAAAAGCGACGATCATTACCACAATCACTCTACTGCAAAAGCCCGCAAAAGCCGCAATTCGTGGTGGCATCCGCACATCTCACTTACGTGCTTGCTTCCCACTCCGTAGTCTGCCCGTACTCCGTAGTTCGTTGCAACTCTGGCGACCTGCGTGCGTGTGACCCGCAAACCCGCTCTTGCAGGCTGATGCACCGAGCAGGCTTCCCTTTTGGAGTCGCAAATCTGGAGACAATAGTGGTACTGTAGTGTCAAGTGGGTGAAGTGTTGGTGAATGTGGTAGCGAATTGTTGGCCAACGACGACGCGCGTCGGTGGGTTGGCTTCAGTGGCTGGCTGATTGATGCTGTTGACGATCCCGGAGGTGGTAGTATTTCTAGCGGTGATGAATGTCGCATTCTTAGCCTGGGAACGAAGTCTTGAAGTCAACTCTGACACTTTGACGTCCGAACTGAATCCGATCACCACCGAGATCTCAAATCCGAATCTAGAATCCAGGATCCAGACCATATTCACGGACCCTACTTGCAGCAGTCAGAAGCACGCCTAGCCTAGCCGATATCCGACCACCAAGATCAGTATCACCAGATCATATCGTATCGTATCGGATCGTATCAGACCAAATCACATCAGACTACCCATCGCCAAGCCAAGCCGGCCACAAGAACCAGCAAACACAAACAGCCAAAATGTCAACCTCCTTCGCCGTCCTCCCCGCTCTCATCCCCGACATCAAGCCCGTCTACGACGCCTACTTCGCCGCCTTCACCACCGACGCCGACGGGCGCAAGATCCTCGAGATCCTGTTTCCGGGCGGCTACACCTCGGAAGAGTTCCGCAAGGCGCACACCGAAGGGACGGTAGCATGGCTTCACAAGGCCGAGTCGCAGTACACGTGGAAGTGCGTAGACATTGCGACGGGCGAGATCGTGGGCATGGCGCTTTGCGACGTGTTCATCAAGCCGCGGACGAAGGAGGAGCGGGCGTATCCTGGCATTCCTTGGTTGGAGGGCGAGCAGAGAGAAAGGGCGGATAATGTCCTTAAGCCGCTTTGTGAGGCCAGGGAGAAGATTATGGGTAATGGGTCATATATCTGTAGGTTTCATTTTTCAAGATGATGATGTCAGGTGATGTGAGGCGTTTGCTAATGGTTATGAATGACAAAACAGATGTCCACGCCATCGCGGTAGATCCCAAGCATCAGGGCCGTGGTGCGGGCGCGATGATTGTCAAGGAGCTCATCAACTTGAGCAATGACAGCAATTTGCCCATTTACTTGGAGTCTTCGGCGTCTGCTGAGGGCTTGTACAAGAAGATGGGCTTTGTGAGGGTGCCGGAGGAGAGCGCGAGGGTGGTTCATAGCAAGTCCGTGCTGGGAACGGAAACGGATGTTGAGGTGCCACTTATGATTAAGACGCCGGCCAAGACTCGTTTGTAATAAGGGAAGGTATGGGAAAGGTGTGATAAGATAAGTAGGAAGTCATCAGAACAAAGTGATGAAGTACGATTGGAAGGATACAATAAATACCCCATGGCAGGCAGACAGCTGTGACTTTCACATTTCATTGAGACACAATGCCTACCTAGCATCGTGATAAACTGCACAGGTAAAGACCCGGCTTCGAGTGACATCTATCGGACAGCAAGTCTAGGAGCAATACGAAAGAGTCTCGGGGTAAACCGTAGCCGCGGCCCAAAAGAAGAACCCAAGAAGCTGTCATCATCAACACCTGGCACTTGCCCCTTTCCCAGGCATGCCAATTTGGCCTCGTCGTCTACATATCCCAACCTTTGAACTTCCATCCCAGGGGACCAGCGCCGCTTACATCACACCCACCTCCCACCTCCCACCTCCCACCTTCGCCGTCGACCGAACCGTAAATCCGATTCCGCCCTGCTCCCCCCAACATCTCCACCCCGCCAAACAGTCATCATCAATGCCAGCCTAGCCAGGAGTACCTTGCCCTTGGAGTCTGGAGGGGAGGCAAATTTTTTATCAGATCATCAGATAATGCAAGGACGGAGCCTCTGAAGGCAAGGAGAAGACATCTGGTCCAGTGCGAGTTGAAAGACGACAAACACTGGGGAGGACAGAAAAACGCCATGCATATGCGGGAGGGTTACAGCAGGGTTACAGGCTCGGCCTTGTACGTAAGAGGAATGTGGGATTTTGGGAATTGGAAAACGGAGATCCACTTGGAAAGTTTGGGGTGGTGTCGTAAATTGTGAATTCCGACGAGAATTGGAAAGGGATATGGCAATGCCGTGGTGGATGAAATTGTGAAAGGCCATCTGAGCTCTGGTGAGGATGATCACGGCATAATCATTTTGCTGTTCAGTCGCGAGAAGTTCGACCTGATTGACCACGTGAAGCAATTCAGAGAAGTCGAAAGGAGATGGTGCGGTGAACAAAACATCAAACTCCCGGCCCGAGGTCCAATAACGGTGGAGTTTTCAAGCTTGGCTTCTCTGGTCAGTTGTAGTCACAATGGCGGAATGGCCAGACGGAAGAACCGCCGACCAGACGACCAAGGAACAACTTTGTCACTTGTCTCCTCCTCCTGGGTCCTGACTCCGGGATCCTGACGGATTCCAGAAGAATAACGACGAACAAAGAGTCAAAATGAAGGATCAGATAACTGTACGTGTCCAGAAGATTTCAAGACTGTGGGGAAAGAACAAAGTTCATCAAATCTCCTGGGTCATCGGCGACTTGGCCGTGGCCGAAGCGGTGTCGGTACGGCCGAGAACTGGAGGGAGGTGTGAAATTGTCGGGTCAAAATCTCGGATCAGATAAGATCTCTCTTTTCACCCCCAAGGGCGTGTGCACAGAAAAAAAACCGAAGACGAGAAACGGAAAAAGGAAAAGGATCTGATAAACGAGCAAAACCGGGATGTTTCCCTCACAAAAACCCCGGCGTGCCAGGAACTGCCAGGGAGATCGCGGAAGACCGTAGGCAATTTCGCAAGCAAGAGGCCGTGAAAACTTCCGTGGGCGACTGGGCGTTGTGAAGGCGAAAAAGGAGAACTGGGGTGGAAGCACAACATGGCCAAGACGTTTTTGCGTCTTTTTCCACTGCGCCGTTCCGTTTTTTGTTTGGTTCGTTTGGCAAAACCCGATGCCGGGCTTGGCATGTGCGGATCTGATAACCACAACAGGCCGGATCTGATAAAAATTTTTCTTTGGAACAGGGCACCATCGCGTGTTTTTGCCGACTCCACTTTGGGCCGGCGTAGCGGGGCGGGGCGGCAGCGAGACCAGCGAAACAGTTGACGACGACAGTGGTTGTGACACGGTGCTCCATCGGGACATCCACCGGCAGAGAAATGAAGAGCCCACACACCCGTGGGAACCCGTGTGCTGCCTGCAGGCAAGGCAAGTCGGTCGGTGGGCGACTGGGCGAAAGGGGGGTGGCAGGAAGGAAACGGCGGGACAACAGGCAAAAATGTCACCTCCCCCGGCCGGTAGGGAGGAGGAACTTTGTGGTGGATGAGACAGATGGCGAAGGAGTGTTGACGACACACACCCCCAGGTTTTGTTTTGAGTTTTGATCTTTCGGATCTTGAACCAGAACCATCCAAACCCAACCCTTTCACTCATCCATCCAACCATCCATCCAACCATCCATCTCTTCATCAATCGATTGTCGGCCGAACCCACGGAACATTCCGGTCTTCCTCCTTCTAGACTCACTCACCCTTATCCTCATCAATAAGAAAATCCTTTATCCATTTTTGTTATCAGTTCATTCATCCATCTCCAACACTGCATGAGGTGAACAAAACAAGGGGCCGAGTAAACAAAAACAAAGCAGCAGCTGGACGACGAGAAAAGGGGCGGTAAACACCACCATCCTTTTTCCCACCATGTCCGCTGAGGAAAAGGGCCTGGCTGAGAAGCCAGCGCCTGAGACTGCTGTTGCCACACCACCAGCACCACCAGCACCACCGGTTAGTTCATTCATACCCCAACCCATTCATCGATGATAGATGTCTTATCGTGTGTGTCGATGATGATATCGATATCGATTGATGATCCGGCCTAGTGGTTGGGTTATCGATAGGGTGATGTTGTTGATGGCGATACCCAGGGGCATTCAGGGGTTAATGTCAACACCACCTCAGCATCACCACCCATCACATGAGATGCACATACCTTTCACACAATCGCATACAAACACTAAAACCCAACCTCACACAGGTCTCCAAGAAATTCTTCGGCTACGTCCGCATTTTCTTCTCCGCCGACCCAACATGGACCGACCACCTCCTCCTGCTAATTGGCACCATCTCGGCCCTCGCAGCCGGCGTGCCCTTCCCGCTCATGGGCATCGTCTTCGGCCAACTAGTCGATGACATGAACGGCGCGACGTGCGCGGTCGAGGACGCCAACGCCGACCCCTTCCGGTACGAGCACGACATCAACGACAAGGTTCTCATCATTGTCTACATCGCCATTGCCGCCTTCTGCCTCATCTACATCTATGTGCTTTCATGGAGCTTGATCAGCCAACGTCTCGCCGCCCGTCTGAGGAACAAGTACGTCTCTGCGCTGCTGCGCCAGCCGCCTGCTTTCTTCGATACGAGAGCCGCCGGTGGTGAGGTTAGCACAAGGTTGCATGGCGATATGGCGGCTCTGCAGGCGGGTACGTCGGAGAAGGTCGGTGTGCTGCTGGCTAGTATCAGTTTCTTCATCACTGCCTACGTCGTGGCTTTCATCAAGCAGGCGAAGTTGGCTGGTATCTTGGTTTCCTTGATCCCGGCTTACCTCGCTATGGGCCTGGTCGGTGGTGCTTTCTTCCAGAAGTACATGATCAAGGCCGCTGGTGCCATTGCTAGCGCTTCGTCCATTGCTTCCGAGGCTCTCAAGAACGTCATTGTCGTTCAAGCTTTTGGTGCCGCGCCTAGACTGGAGGCCAAGTTCGCTGATCACATGGCTACGGCTCGTGATGCCGGTATCAAGAGAGGCATGTCAGCTGCTGTTCAGGCTGGTTTGCTGTACTTCATCGCCTACGCCGGTAACGCTCTTGCTTTCTGGGAGGGTTCGCGCATGGTTGCTGATGCCATGGCTGGCAAGGGCGACGAGACCATTGGTCAGATCTACACTGTCATCTTTATCTTGGTCGATGCTTGCGTTGTCCTTGGTAACATCTCCCCCTTGCTGCCCCTTTTGGGTGGTGCTCAGGCTGCTTTCGACAGACTGATGAAGGACATCGAGGAGCCCTCTCCCATCGACGGTACTTCCGACAAGGGCGTCGTCCTTCCCTTTGAGACTCGCGGCGAGATCCGCTTCGAGAACGTCTCCTTCTCCTACCCCAGCCGCCCTGAGCAGCTGGTTCTCAAGAACGTCGACTTGACGTTCCCTGCTGGCAAGCACACCGCTATCGTCGGTTTGTCCGGCAGTGGCAAGTCCACCGTTGCGGCCATGATCAGTCGTTTGCAGGATCCCAACTCCGGCAAGATCACCATGGACGGTTATGATCTCAAGGAGCTCAACGTCCGTAATCTGCGCGGTTTCGTCAGCTTGGTCCAACAAGAGCCCTCTCTGCTCGACCGCTCCATTCTCGAAAACATTGCCCTCGGTCTCATCAACTCCCCCAAGCCCGAACACCAGCGTCTCAAGGACATCCTCCACAGTCCCGAGCTCGCCGACCTAGCCAAGAAGGGCAAGGACTCCATCAACCCCTCTACCATCAGCACCTTCAGCCCCCTCGTTCAAGAGATTGTCCACCTCATTCAGCACGCCGCCTCCGAGGCCGACGCCGCTAGCTTCGTCGAGCGTCTCGAGAACGGCTACGGCACCCATGCCGGTCCCTCTGGTTCCATGGTCAGTGGTGGTCAGCGCCAGCGTGTTGCCCTCGCCAGAGCTTTGATCCGTGATCCCAAGATTCTTCTCCTCGATGAAGCTACTTCAGCCTTGGACTCTGCCTCTGAGCGTCGTATCCAGGAAGCCGTCGACCGTGCTGCCAAGAGCAGGACCGTCATCTCCATCGCCCATCGTCTGTCCACCATTCGCAACGCCGACAAGATCGTCGTCATGGAAGCCGGAAAGGTTATCGAGGAAGGTTCCTACGATGAGCTCATGGCCAAGGAAGACGGTGCTTTCGCCAAGATGGCCAACCTCCAGACTCTGGGTACTGCTCACAAGGCCCAGACCGGTTCGTCTGTCTCCGGCGAGTCTATCGAGTCTTCCTCTTCTGCCACCGAAACCTCCGTTGAGAAGCCTTCTGTTTCCAAGGTTGCTGTCACTCCTGCCCCTGCTCCCGCTGCCGCCGCGGCCGCCGCTCCTAACGAAGATGAGATCGGCATCGACACCAAGCGTCCCCTGAGCAGCGTCGTCCGCTCGCTCGGCCGTTTCCTCCGTCCCAGTCTCGGCTGGCTCCTACTCGCCATCTTCGCGGCAGTCATCGTCGGCGGTACCTTCTCCGGCTCTGGTATCCTCTTCGGCTTCACCATCGGCGCTCTCAACCCCTGCAGCAGCACCATGGACAAGGTCCTCTACTACGGCAAGTTCTTCGGCGGCTTCCTCTTCATGCTTGCCTGCGTCGAGTTCTTCGCCAACTTCGCCGCTTGGTCGTGCTTCGCTCTCATCGCCGAGAAGCTCCTCTACGCCATGCGTGTGCTTTCTTTCCGTTCTCTCATGGAGCAGGGCGTGCAGTGGCATCAGTCTGAGGGTCGCAGCCCGTCGTCGCTCTTGACCATCATTACCAAGGACAGCGCTTCAGTCGGTGCCTTCTCTGGCTCCACCATCGGCACCGTCTTCTCCATCTGCGTCAACTTCATCGCCGCCATCATTCTCTCTCATATCTTCGCCTGGAAGATTGCCATCGTCTGTCTGTCCATTGTGCCCATCCTTTTGGGAACCGGCCTGATGCAACTGCGCATGCTGGCCCGCTACGAAGAGCGTCACGCCGAGGCCTTCAACAAAGCCACCTCTGTCGCTGTCGAAGCCGTGCAAACCATCAAGACTGTCGCCGCCCTCTCTCTCGAGCACGAGGTCCTCGGCTCCTACGAGCGTCTGCTCAAGAACAACCGCGACGAAATGGTCAAGGCCGCAGCCTTCACCAACATCTGGCTGGCGCTCGCCAACTCGGTCTCCTTCCTTGTGTACGCCTTTGCCTACTGGTGGGGTTCGCAGCGCATTATGCACGGCGAGTACACGCAGCGCGACTTCTTCATCGTCCTCGTGTCCATGCTCGTCTCCGCCCAGCTCTGGGGTCAAATGTTTTCCTTGGCGCCCGAATTCTCCCGTGCTCGCCTGGCCATCTCCCGCATCTTGGGCGTCATCGGTCTCGGCTCCAACGACCACGTCCACGATAACACCTCCAGGGCTTCCAAGAATGTCGACCCCGAAGCCACCGGCGAATCATCCAACTTCGTCCACAAGAAGTCCGGCGTTCAGATCCAATTCTCCAACGTCTCCTTCGCCTACCCCTCTCGCCCCGACCACCCCGTCCTGGACAACGTCTCCTTCACCATCCAACCCGGCCAATTCGTCGGTCTCGTCGGACCTTCCGGCGCCGGCAAGTCTACCATCATGAACCTCGTGCAGCGCCTGTACGCGCCCACAGCTGGTTCCATCACCATCGACGGCGTGGACCTTTCCTCCCCAACCTCCAACTTCCGTGACTCTGTCGCCCTCGTACCCCAGGAAGCCGCTCTCTTCGATGGCTCCGTCAAATTCAACGTCGGTCTCGGCGCGCGGCCAGGTCACGAAGCTTCGGATGCCGAGATTGAAGAAGCCTGTCGTTTGGCCTCAATCCACGACGTCGTCGCCGCCTTGCCCGAGGGCTACGAGACAGAATGCGGCGCTTCTGCTTCTCGCTTGTCCGGTGGTCAGAGGCAAAGACTCGCTATTGCGCGCGCCTTGGTGAGGAAGCCGAGGTTGTTGTTGCTGGATGAGAGTACCAGTGCGCTTGACGCGGCGAGCGAGGCGGCGTTGCAGGAGGGATTGGATAAGGTTGCCAAGGACACGACGGTGCTGGCGATTACACACAGATTGCATACCGTGCAGAAGGCGGATGTGATCTTTGTTGTTGAGGGTGGTAGGATTGTGGATAGTGGCACGCATCAGGAGTTGATGGCGAGGAGGGAGAGTTATCGGATTAATGCCATGCAGCAGATGTTGCAGTGAGTCCCGGTGCCTGGGTGTAGTGTAATGGCGGTGGGAGATGCCCCTGAAGTGAGGAGGTGATTGGGGATGAAGGGTGATGACAATGAAGGAAGGAAGGGACGGACGGGAGGGGATGGGTGGATGGAATGGAAGAAAAAAGCGTGAAGAAGTTATTGATGTGTGATGCGTATTGCTGTTACGGGTTTTGAGTCCATGATACCATATCCCTTAGTTTACTATTAGCCGTCTTCGTAATGTTAGTCTTGATCAAACTTTCGTTTCTTTCAATCCTGTCTCGGTGGTTTGGTGCATGAATGATGATGCAAGTCACGGCTCACGGGTGTCAGTCTGCGGTGGGTGATGAGGCGGGGTGTTCCGAGTCGTCAGGTCTTGAACTCGGAATCTTCTTCTTTTCTTCTGATGCAACATTTTCTCGCCGCAATTTCGAGTCGTCCACTTGATCTGCTTAAGACAGTTGCATCTTCTCTCTTCGGGGTCCAGTCAGTTGAACGGGGGGAGAAGGGAAAAGTGCGATGACCGAGCGACTGGCAAGCGCGGTTTGGCCCGAAAGAGAAAACCGCGTAGTGCGTGCGCCGTTTGTCAACCAGCAATGCTGATGCCCTGGCAACTTCCCGCTTTGATGGTCGTCCCACAGAACTGAACTCAATGCTCGAATACGAAAAAAGAAAAGCGATGACAGTGGCTGGAGCTGTGACTCCAAAGGTTGGTCTTGGATTTTCGCTCACCTTCGAAGACCGACTGATGCTCGTGGCTGGACGTGCACGTTCAGCGTGAGGCTAAGGTATTTCTTGTGTACGCTAGCGGTGCTTGTTAGCGACTCAAGTCCATATGTCTCGGTAAAGAAACTAAAGGACTACGACTCCGCTTCAAACCCGGATAAAGGATCATATGACCACAACTTGGAGAGGCTCTCCAGGTAAGCTGTCTAACTTCTTCATCTAATCGTTTGTCAGAGGTGTCGGAGTCAAGTCATCAAGATGTTATGGTAGCCCGAGGCTTGACCTTTCTCTCCAGAACACCATGTGAAGATCAACGTCTTGGGAGTTTCTCGGTTTTAGAAACATGACCAATCAATTTTCGTTACCCCAGGTTTACCCCAAAGACCTTCAGGAGAGCCCAGAAGATCTTCAAAACTGTCAATTACCTAGCAGACCGATTTGTTGTAAGTCGAAAGTTGTCATTGGTCAAAGTGCAAATCTGGGGTACACGGAGAAGTGTCGGTGTGTGCATCGCTCTTTGACCTGAAGCAATCCGTTCGCATGATCGTCCACGGATTCTCCACGGATTTCCATCGTGTCTACCAGTTCGAGGCTCAAGCACAAACTCGTGACAACTTCCCCAGACTCTCCCCGCTGCACATCACGAGGGGACAGATTTCTTAGCATCGCCCGGACCTCGGACAAAGTGCCGCCTGGCACTGCTCGCAAATCTAGTGTACATACAGATACCACATCTTGCCTGACCAAGGTTATAAAGGCCACAACATTCCTGCTTTCTCTTCCCGTTTTTAAGCACCCGGCATCAAAACATTAAGAAGACAGGACACCAATTTCCTCGTCTATAAAATCTCTCAAGTACAACTTCTTCCCGCCGTACCTCTTCCTCTCAACAAAGTCCATCACAACCTCAAATCCTGCACCCAACCAACCACTACCAAAATGAAGTTCTTCCTCACCATTGTCTCCCTCGCCGCCGGCCTCGTCGCCGCCCAATCCCTTGACGAAATCCCCGAGTGCGCCCAGCCATGCATCACCGACGCCGTCACCTCCGCCACCACCTGCTCTCTAGACGACTACAAGTGCTGGTGCACGACAGACAATGAGTCGGCCATCGTACAAGCCGGGACGGCGTGCGTGTTGGCGGCATGTGGGAGTGATGTTGCTGTTAGTACGTATTGCCTTCCTTGCTCGTTTTGTTTGCAGCTTTTCTTCCATTTGAGATCATGTCAGAGCATATAGGTACTAACCAACAAATAGACGACGTCCTCCCGGCAGTTCAGCAGTTCTGCGAGGAGGTTAACGCTTCCTAAGCTGGGCTCTTCACGTTTGCTTCTGCGTACGTTATACGAGGGTATCAAACCCAATCGATACATTGGGGTTTTTGGATAGGATGATGGATCCGGAGCGATCATGAATATTGGCTCTTCGAATCGTTGGGCGAGATGGACTGTCATGTTGTGGAGACGGGAAGTTGCTGGAGGAAGCAACGTCGATTCGGACCGGACGGACATGACGACAGCCCAGCTTTGAGGAACATCATCACACGTTGGAAACGAAGGTTCCGGGAACCTGGTGAGAACGAAATATCTACGGCGGTTGTTCGCTTTAATGGAGTAAATTCAGGATATACCTTTGAACTCCTTGTCAATCCCTTCGTGAATCCCTTCGTGAATCCCTTCGTGTTCTAGGGTGTTGGTGACAGAAACCAAAACAAAGAGAACCATACTGTGCAATGGCCCGTCCCAGTGATACGCCGATAAGATAAGGCCCCATTGCCTTATCGATACGGATATTGGCCATCAAGGTTCTCACCCTCTTCGACTTCTCCTCGTTCTTAACCTCGATCACGCCTTCCTTCCACCTGGTACCGCGGGAATTGAATCTCCCGCGCAGTTTCCAGGGAAGGGACCAGCGACCCAACCTACGCAAGCAGCAGGCCAGCAGGACCCCAAAGAAATTTATCCCCCTGACGGGAAGGAACGCCTATTGCTCCCCTCACTGCCTTTTGGAAATGCGACTCGTTGCAATGCGAACAGCGAGAGTCACAGTGCATAGGTACAAGCCATTTAATCAACAATCTTCTGAGCCAAGTGAGTAAGGGCGCTCTACTTTGCGTTTGATTGAGACATCACATTCACACAAGGACATTGTTTGGAACGACAGAATGGGTGACGCATTGTGGCCCCCATTTAAAACCCATGCTTGCGGAGTTCGTCAAACTGGCGGGCGGGATCCTTGCAAAACCAAGAGCGAGCCTTGAACATAACATCTATCTGTTAGTAATGGCTTCTATCAAAAGCCTAGAAGCATGGATATCAAAAAAACCAAAAAAAAAAACTTACTTCGGCCCTCTCGAGGATTTCACGATCAATGTTGTAGCCCACCTTTGCAGCATACACAGAAGCACCAACAGCGAGATCGGGGAGATGTTGGAGGAAGAAGGCGAAGCTCTCATGCCATAAGGGCGGAAGATTTCATCTCGACTTTTTGGACGGTGAAGTTTCGAGTAGACAAACGAACAAACGACGATATGAGATCGAATGGAAGCCTCGGTTATGATGAAATGAGAGACGAGAGGAGGAAAACTTTTGCAAACTCGAGAACAGAAGATGCTGATCCAAAGCAGAGGGAACACAGGAACGTCGTGCCTACCTCGAATACATATGATGTCTGTAAGGCCTCTTGCTCCCGAGTACTTTCCTTCCTATCATGTCCTTCGTCTGGTTGCTCCCTGTAATCAATGATGTCCCGACCACTTATGCAGAGTATTCTTTCCTTTTCGGCCACCACGTCAAAACATCAAACATCACAAACTTGAGGTTCGTAATGGATCACACACCTGGACTGAAGACGTGTTAGTAGCCATCAAGGTTCTCACACACCTTGTCCGCTCCTCGGCTCCTTGACGCACCTCGACCGTCGTGCCTTTTACTTATCAACCATAAAGGCCTCATGAACGAGGCAGAAGAGATTTTCGGAATCCAAAAGAGAGGGCAAGTGGAGACACAGGTCTCAGAGGTATGACGAACCGTTACAAGCACAGGAGTATTATCGCTGGGATAGAACAATAGAGTAACGGAGTAGTGGCCGAAAGGTACTGGTAGATTGTGGTAGTATTTCTTGCTGAAGAGCCTTATAAACAAAGGCCGGGAGGCCTTCTTTTATACTGCTCTTCCCTGGACCCGGTGTACTGGACCCGGGGACCCGAAGCCTTCGGGCCTTCGGGTCCAACCTGATTGGTCTATCTATCTAGCTAGCTTACATAACTTTGGTTGGATCGTAACAGGGAGCTCCACGTCATCGTGGTGGGAAACGAGGCCGAGGAACGAGTCAATGGACACACGAGGATTGGGACGAAAAGAGAAAAAAAGGCGCGAGCCAGAGTTGGGACAAAAGCCTAGGAGGAAGCAGACAAGACGAAAGAAGCCGAGGGCAAACAGAAGACAAACGAACAGGGGGGGAGGGGGGGCAAATGCTTTGAGCTCTCGTAGCCGAAAAGAAAAAAAAAAGAAGAAAAAAAGAGACCGGAAAAGAGATGGGGGATGTGATGCCTTATGTACTCGTGATTACAGTGCTGCACACAAGGCAAGTCAAGGTAAGTCAAGGCAAGCCAGGGGTTAAACTCCCTTTGCCTTGCCTTCCAGTGTTAGGATCGACTAGACTTGCCATGCCTTGTGACTTGACTTGACTTGCCATGTTGGCTTGTATAACCTCCATACGTGTATTATCATCGGTGGAGGTTACCGCACTCGAGACCAATATTCACCAGGCAGGAGGGGTATTTTATCGGTAGAAAGACGGGATACAAGGGCGTGTTCGTTTAAGCAGTAGCAGAGTGACAGAAGCCTTTTTCTGGTGCCAAAAAGGCCTTGGGTTTGGGATAGAACAGCTTTTCTTACTGCACTATTGCAGGAAAGAAGACGAACACTTCCCAAAATTGCAGGCCTAACAAGGCAAGCCGACCCCCAAACTTGCCTTGAGTAGGCTTGCCTTGTATACAGCACGAGTCGTGGATGGGGCATCAGATCAGTCAACATCAGTCACAACAGCTAGGTATTGCGACAGACACAGCAAGTCTGCACCTACCTAGGTGTATAATACTCTACGAGTGCAGAAAGTCTATGGCGCCACTTTGCTCACCGAGAAGAAGAAAGTGTTGTTGAAGGGGTTTGGAAGACTGGAAGGGGAGGATTGGGCTCCCCGGAATGATTGCAAGGCCAGAAGGTGAGGGCTTAAAGGCTGGAAGGTAAGATTGGGACATCAGGAGGGCAGGACTCCAACAACTGCAGGATCAGGGGTGAACTGGAATGGTTGGAAAGCTGCAGCCAGAGGACGGGAAGGCCGGCTGGAAGGTTAGAAGGGAAGGATCTGGATTCAAGAATGCTAGAAGGGGAAGATTGAAAGGCTGGAAGTCTGCAACGGGACTGGAGGAGAGGACTGTTTACCCACGAACTTTGGAAGGTTTAAGGGGTATCCCGAACTCGGCCACACCTGTGACGGTGCATGCCATCTTCTTCATTCGAATGTGTGGTATATTGAGTCTCATTCCTCTCCTTAACTTGGTCCCGGCTTGAGGCTCAGTTCTTACCACGCGCCAGTCCCGTTCTTTTCACGTGTAGCTGCCATGTTCCACTCCCACGTGTTGTTGCCATTTTCTGGTAATAGACAAAAACCATTGAACCAGGACTACGATGTCCGATCACTCTCGCTTTGTTGCCGTTTACCCAAGGAAAGTAGTTCGATATTGCCATCCTCATTGATTGTAAAGGGACCCGATTGTAAAGCAGGAGTGGGATCGAAATCTCATCGTGGCTCTATATTGGCTACACGGATGGAAAGAAACATTGCGGTTTTGGTGGAAGGAAACACTACAGTTACTATATAAAGAGACACTGCAGTTTGGATGAGAAAGGAATCAACACAGTTGGAAGGAAAGGAATACCACAACTAAAAAGAAAGAGCTAAAGGTCATCCGTGACCTGCCGGCCATTCTCTGAGTGATGTGCTTGCCGTCATCAAATAAAGAGGGCACGCGTGAGGGCCACGTGTTAGGAGCAGAGCCTCAACCCGGGCTCGAGATCTTGGGTACCGTATCCATGGATCACCTGTGCACTTGGCCTGATCAGGCTTGGTAGGGTCCCAATCGATTGATTGCACTTGCAGTTGTCAAAAGTAGAATGGTACAATTCAGGGAAACGAGCTTGTTGATGGGAATTTTCAATCAGGACCTTCTCGTACATTCGTGTCCCTTTCAGCCTGTAAGCCACGGTCCCTCTTTAATCCTTCCGGTCATCTCGATAGTTGCGGTCAGGATATAGCCGCTTGGCCCCGACTCGTCCCTGATGCCGCTTCGGCGTGTACTGTCCGTAACATGGTTGGTTGATTCCACGAACGCTCGGTTGTGACAAACCGGAGTGGGTGCGGGGGCTTGGCATGGTCTTGTTCTTTCCATCCTGACCCGGCGTGTGCGCATTCAGCAAGTCGCTGCCCACAACGAAGTGGAAGTCCGTTCCGGCAAGATTTCCCGGGCACCGGGCCGAGTTCTCGTGGCCAAAGTCTGAACGATTGCTTTGGAAACATTGCGCCTGGCAAATAAGTGTCATTCATGGAATGAACGGTTAATCTGCCTTCTCACCAATGTAGCCTTAATCACTTGCTAGCGAGTCCAGTGACTACCTTGTCGAAGAAATAAGAGGCTGAGTTGAACGAGAGGCAGATTCCAAAATGAACTGGGAAACTGACAGGAAGGGAATGTAAGAGCAAGCGCTGGAAGGGACCAACACAAAGGTGAGGCTAGAAGGGGAGGTCTGGAGGAGTGGAACGAGGCCAAATGGGAAGCAGTGTGGCACACAATGCAAATCATCTTGAGGGAAGGCAAGTCGAGGGTCTGGTAAGGCATGTCAAGTCAGGATGAAATGTGGACAGGTCAAGGCAAGTCCGGGGTTATCCCAGTTAGACAACGCAAGTCAGATATGAAGAGCGTCAAAGCAGGGGCATGCTACAGTCAGATAATTTGTCAGGGACACTATAGAGAATGAAGGGAAGACAATGAAGGGAAGACCAAGGCATACAACCATGACTCCCAGGCGGTGTTTCACAAAAACACGAGCAGAACCATCATCTTCTTCCTCCTGCAACAAAAAGTC